TAATATTACAAGAATAAAGTCGTAATTTAATGAGATAAAAGTCATAATATTATGAGAATAAAGTTGTAATTTAATGAGAAAAAAGTCATAATATTACGAAAATAAAGTCATAATATTACAAGAATAAAGTCATAATATTATGAGTACTGTTGTCACGATACCAAAATCTTTGTTTCGGTACCGATACCAATATGAATTTCGATACTTTTCGGTACTTTTTCCTAAGGAAAAGTCCTTTTGGATACAAACCTTTAGAACAATAAATAGTAGGGGTGTAACGGTACCAAGAAAATCATGGTTCGGTAAGTACCTCGGTACTGACATCACGGTTTGGTAACTCAAATGTTCCACCAAGTTTGTGTTGTCTTGTGTTGTCTCCCTTTGCGAGGCAGACTTTCTCTTGTCTTTTTTCACGTGTGCCAGCTGCGAATGTTGATACAGGTGTTGTCATACACACCACTTGTGCAATCTGTGCTCCAATAGGACCAAGAAAGGCGTTTGTGTGCATAAATGAGTAAAATAACTTAACTAAATGAATAAATTGAATCAATTTCAAAGTACTGGTATTTTCCAAATGCAGTATAGTACCGTTTGGAATGCTCTAGTACCGCGGTACTATTTTAGTACCGGTATACCGTGCAACACTAATTATGAGAATAAAGTTGTAATTTAATGAGATAAAAGTCATAATATTACGAGAATAAAGTTGTAATATTACGAGAATAAAGTTGTAATATTACAAGAATAAAGTCATAATATTATGAGAATAAAGTTGTAATTTAATGAGATAAAAGTCATAATATTACAAGAATAAAGTCCTAATTTAATGAGATAAAAGTCATAATATTACAAGAATAAAGTCGTAATATTACAAGAATAAAGTCCTAATTTAATGAGATAAAAGTCATAATATTACGAGAATAAAGTCGTAATATTACAAGAATAAAGTCATAATATTATGAGAATAAACTTGTAATTTAATGAGATAAAAGTCATATTATTACAAGAATAAAGTCGTAATTTAATGAGATAAAAGTCATAATATTACGAGAATAAAGTCATAATATTACAAGAATAAAGTTGTAATATTACAAGAATAAAGTTGTAATATTATGAGAATAAAGTCGTAATATTACAAGAATAAAGTCGTAATTTAATGAGATAAAAGTCATAATATTACGAGAATAAAGTCATAATATTACAAGAATAAAGTTGTAATATTACAAGAATAAAGTCGTAATATTACGAGAATAAAGTCGTAATATTACAAGAATAAAGTCGTAATTTAATGAGATAAAAGTCATAATATTACGAGAATAAAGTTGTAATATTATGAGAATAAAGTTGCAATTTAATGAGAATAAAGTCGTAATATTATGAGAATAAAGTTGTAATTTAATGAGATAAAGTCGTAATATTACAAGAATAAAGTTGTAATATTATGAGAATAAAGTTGCAATTTAATGAGAATAAAGTCGTAATATTATGAGAATAAAGTTGTAATTTAATGAGAATAAAGTCGTAATATTATGAGAATAAAGTTGCAATTTAATGAGATAAAGTCATAATATTATGAGAATAAAGTTGTAGTTTAATGAGATAAAGTCATAAAATTACAAGAATAAAGTCGTAGTTTTTTTAGGAAATAACCAACAACAAACAGAATGGGTTACAGGATGATTGTTGGTTATTTCCTTAAAAACTATGACTTTATTCTCTCTTTTTTTTCTTCAATGTGGCCCTCATACTTCGTCGTAGGCAGTGGACACATTGGAAAGTGTAAATTATGAGGTTTCTGTCAGTACTCAGAATGAATATTTCTGAACGCACCACTCACATCATCTTCCTCCACTGTCTAAAAGAAGCCAACAGGACTAATGTCTGTGGAGAGCTGATTTGCCTCCAGCTAAGCCCCGCCCACCAAAATGTCATGCTGTTCACTGACAGTGAAAGAGTCTGTAGTCTTTAGATGATGATGAGTTAATTATTTGGTAAAATCTGATAAAAAATAGCAGCTGTCGCCATCTTACACTTCAGCCACACGCTGGACACTAAATAATTAACACACACACACACACACACACACACACACACACACACGAATATGTGATCCAAGGACAGGAGCCATGGTAAAAAATGAAACAGGTAATAAATATTGAGCAAAATTCAGCATCCCCTTGGACAAGCTTTTGTACTGTGTGTGTGTGTGTGTGTGTGTGTGTGTGTGTGTGTGTGTGTGTGTGTGTGTGGACCATCCAACTCCATCTGTCACTCCAGGTGGCCACTCACACCTGGGCACACACATACACACACACTTTCACACACATGATCAGTGAGCCAGTTTGTGAGAGGACAGACAGACAGACAGACAGACACATTTTTCATGTCTCACTTGATCTCTTTGCACACACATTGTTTTCCCCTCTTACACTCTGGCTCGTTTCGATGTATACTCAGTTATTCCTTATTTACACTCCCTTTAATCCCGGACTCACTGATCTCCTTGACACACACTCATTGATTCCTCATACACACTTCCTCGTTCCCTACGTGCACTCACACTCACTTTTCCCTCATGCACCAACTCACCTGTTCCCTGCGCTCACCTAAATGTTCCCTTAACATCACAGTCAACCTTTCACCAGTCAGTCCCTGTGTGCACACTCACTTATTCTCTTGATGGGCTTGAAATATATTTTTCTGTCTAAATGCAAAATTACATGGCCCCTAAACTAAAAACCTCTCACTGCACCAAATGTTGTATTTATCCTTCTTTTCCGCATCTCCAGCAGGGGCTGAGTCTGACCGCAATCAGAAAAATGAACTATGAATTTTTATTCATCTATTTATTTATTAAGATTTTACTAGTCCATACCCATTGGTAGCTTTGTCACCTTCTACCTATGCCAGTCCTCAATGCCTATGTGCAGTTTCACATAGATTGACCACGTCAGTGAGTAGAAAAACGTGGGACAGACAGAATGACTGACTGACAGAATGACACACTGACAGTTTCAGTGATTATGTACAGCATACCATACCATGACTTAGTCATACCAAACATTAGAAACACCAACATTGGTCCACAGGGGGAGCCACAGCGATCGGTCGCATTTTAGCCATTTTGAAGCATTTTTCTGTTGTTATAGCGCCACCCAGTTGCCAATTAGAGTTAAATTTCTCCAGTCACCTTGAGGCGTCCTGTTCTACATATCTACCAAGTTTAGTAAAAATCCATATGGCGGTTAGGCCTAGATAAGAAATGAGCTCTCTAGCGCCCCCATTTTGTTTGATGGGGTCAATAATGGAGGGGTCCCCTCAGATTATGTGTGGTCATATGCCTACAAAGTTGCGTGGTGATGGGTGAAACCCTTGAGATGTTATACACCTTTATGTGATGAGCCACGCCCTCCGCAATATTCATTGCCTTATAGAAGCTCAGTTTTAGTAAGTTTTCCAACTTTTGCCAAGAGGGAACTTTAGATATTGGTCCCTAGATTATGTTCACCCAGTTTCATGCAGATCGCTCAAACTTCCTAGGAAGAGATCCATTTGAAGTGTTTTTCAAAAAATTCAAAATGGAGGAAAATCTATATAAGTGGAAGTTATGGGTTCTTGAGGCAAATGTGTTCCTCATGAGGAGAGGCATCTCTGTGCAAAGTTTCATGTCTCTACGACATACGGGGCATGAGATATGCCCATTCAAAGTTTGACATTTCAATGGGTTGCTATAGCGCCCCCCTTTGGCCAATTGATGTAATATTGCTTCATTGGCATCCTCCCATGACCCTCTACCACTGTGCCAAATTTCACATGGATTGACCAAGTCAGTGAGGAGAAAAACGTGGAACAGACACACACACAGAGTTTTCCTCATTATATAGTAAGATAGTAAGACATGGTCATAGGAGCGCTTTGAGACAGACGAGTGCAGCTCACTGCCATTCTACTGAGAACGTTGGCTGAAACTGAGGTGTCTATCCAATATACAACTTTAAACTAACTGAGGTGGCTGGCGGGACTCTTAGCTGATTGTCATAGCATCGCTGCATTAAACTGCTGCTGTGGGTTGCCATTTAAAAAAAAAAAATCTGGGTCAAGTGAATTTTAAAACATTTTGGTTGCTTGGATGTCATTGGTCTACAGCGTTTTCACTCCACATTCTAGCATCAGCCCAGCTCACCTGAGATGGTACCAAAATAAAAACCAGGTACTGACCACAACTTTTGCCAATGGAAAACCAAAAACGAAAAATTCCACGCCAGTCGAGCTGCGCCGCGCCGTGCTGTGGAAATATGGTATAATACAATCAATTCAGCTAAACTTATAGGAGCTGTTTATCTGGTGTGACTCCAAGGTTAGCACAGCTGCTAACCACCTTGGAATAATGCACGAACACTCCCAGGTTGAAATAAGTGCCGTCTTTCCTGTCCTTCACATTCTACTGGCACTGCGTGAATGCAGCATACATTATGTACAATTAGTTGTAACTGTAAGTATCATGTACATGCAGTGATCCCCATTAGGGCAGTAATTATTAAGCCTCTAAAAAATATGTACACATGCACATTTGTTCCTGCACTTATTAGTGTAATGTCTTTACATCATGTACTCTCATCCATGCCTTATATTCTGTAATTAGGGAAACAAGATTTTCCTGAAAACATATGCAACAGTCATTTAATCCCACTCAAACACAGACAAACATGTCGTCATATCAATACACCAAGACTCCTCTAAACACTGTTTTGCTCCATGTCTGCGTGAATACAATCATTCACAGTCGGTATGTAGAAGCACGCTTCTCTGCAAACTCATTTTCCATATGCACAACTGTGTTCCACAATTACTGTACACACACACACACACACACACACACACACACACACACGTAGCTCGTTCCACATGTTTGCAAATACCCACATACACACTCGTCTGCTCACTGGACACACACATGCTGTAACCACGTGCTCTAGGAAATAAAGTGAAAATGCACCGACCTGCTGGATGAACGTGTGCGCTCCGTGGGGGCTGAGCAGCAGGATGGCTCTGCGCAGCGTGTCTCTGTACCGGTTTAGCTCCTCGGTCCTCATGGTGGTGAAGAGGTTGGTGAAGACTTTGCTGATGTTCCTGTCCACTCGCTGCAAGGCCACGTCCACACCCTGACGGGATGTCTGGTCCAAAAAACCCTGCAGGCCACGAATATCTGATGGAACAGGAAGAAAAGAGGGTTAAACTTAAATCATCGCTGACGAGATATACCAAGACGAGCTGGGAAATTTGGAGATGCAGGACAGAAAGAAGGCAAATGTCTTTTCTATCACAGAGAAATGTCCACAATGTCTCTGTTAGAAAACCACAACAAAGACAAGATTGTACTGACTTTCCCCACCAGAATCTAACCGATTCATTGTTAAATCCAAGTGGATGTTTGTGCCAAATTTGAGAATATTTCCTCAAAGCCTTCAAGAAATCTCATTCACAGAAATGAAACGGAGGCAAAGCCACAATGACCATGACCTTTGACTATTAAAATCTTATCAGTTAGTCGCTGTATCCATTGGACATTTATGCCAAATTTGAGGAAATTACCTTCCGGCCTTCTCACATTCACAAAATTGAGACAGATGCAAGGGCACAATGACCTTCACCTTTGACCACTAAAATCTAGTCAGTTCTTCCTTAAATCCAAGAGGACGTTTGTGCAAAATTTGAAGAAATTCCTTTGAGGCATTCTTGAGATATCAAGTTCACAAGAATGGGACAGACAGATGGAAAACCCAACAACACAGTCCTTCTGGCTGCGGCTATCACGGGCACAGAGGCATAAGAAAAGTGATGGCTGGACATATCTGACTCTCAGACATTTCAGAATTCCACACACTTCTCAGAAGAAGTGTTCTTTAATATAAAAGGGGTGATGGTTCCATCTGTTAATGTGGTGCTCCTGAAGCAGGTAAGAGTCAATTGCTCAAGGACAAGGACACTTTGGCCTCCAGTCGAGGGTAAATGTTACTGCGTTCTGCAAGTTAACATCTACAACCTGATCTCTGCCAGCTCCTCTCAGACACTCTGAATTAAATCTGTCTGGGAAAGAGATCTCATTCATTGTGTCTTCTGTTGCTCATTTTATAACTCTCACTCTCTACGAGCAGAAAAACTTTGCTCTGATGGTTAAGGTTAAAAAGTGACTGTTTGTCTTTCAGTGTTGGTCAAGAGGCAGCACAGAGAGCCTCTCAAATGAGTGTGTAAATACAGTAGACCTGATCTACTTCCTGATGCTCACTTGACTCGCTCTTGTAATTTTCTACACGACTGTTTTCTCCCTTAGCTTAAAGGAAAGCTGCGGCTTACTAGAGCTTGAGTTTTATCTTTGCAACTCTGGTCTTCAGTTCTGTTGGTTATAACATGTCTGAGTGGGAGGAAGTTCACTGCATAGTTCAGCCTCTCACTGGGCGGAACAAGCTGCCCACTGAAGTCCCACCCTACCACCTCCAGTTGTGCAGAAGTTTTCAACACGTCCTTTACAAACTTTTGCGGTGTTTGATCTTGCGGGGATGTAGCCATTTTTCTGCCATGGTTCACGTCCTGTAGGCGATATTTTTGTGGGCTTGTTACACCAAAACCTGTTTCCCCCCCTGCAATATTTTTGCAAGCGCACCGTTGCTGTGGCACCGCCCAGAACGATTGTGATTGGTTGAAATTTTAAAGTAAGAGTCCATGCAGCCAGACCTCTGTGAATTTGTGAGATTTTGTGGGTGAGGAACATTAATATATAGTCTCCAGGAAATGAACACATTTCTCCTACATTGTTGTTCAGCACTTGTACATGCAAGATGTGATGGTTGGTCTTAGTGGTAGGCTGTTTGTCCAACCTACAACCAACTACAATTCTCGATCTAGATTTGTATTTAAATCACTTATTGTTGCTTCTGCTAAATATATTGCAGAGTTCATCAGCATACATTGAGATAGAGGCATTCTTTGATACCAAAAGAAGGTCATTAGTGAAAATGGTGAACAGGAGTGGCCCGAGACAGGTTCCTTGAGGCACTCCATCTGAATAACTTCCATTAAAGTTCACCATCAGCCTTTTGGTGTTGATGACCTGACCTGACTTCAGTCAGATGACCTGACGTAACTCTTATTGTGTAGATGGCCTGATGTGACTTCAACTAGATGGTCTGACATGACTCTGACCAAATTTTGTTATGTGAGGAGAAGAAATTGTCCCCAGAACCTGTTGTCTGATCAGCAGGAAATAACACCGAAGTAATGGAAAGTACCTACAATGCTTGTTTGTCAGACACTATAAGCTGTCATGATGTACCAATTCTTTGGCTCTCTCTCAAGATTAAAAGACTTTCAGATGTGCAACTCTATGTCTGAACCTCCCTTATGTTAAATCTTGTTTATGCTACAATATCTTCTATCACTCAAGTAACGTTTTATCCATAATAATGCAGACTGAAAACTACAACACTTAATCAACATTAGCTCATGATCAATGATGTCAAAAGCAGCAGAAATATGAAGCAAAACTACTCCTATAACCTTCCTCTACTCTAACTTCATACACCAGTCATCAATCATTTGAGTCAAGGCTGTTGAATATTTTTCTCTACTTGCATGTTGGAAATTAGTGATTAAACTATTGTTGGAAAAATAGGACTGAATCAAGTGTTGTTTTTCTTGTGTTCTTCTTCCTTTGGCATTTAACAGCAGACTAGAACACTTGTAGGTGTACATGCTGCCCCATCAGGTCTAGAAAAGGCAATTTTATGGAGAAAAACAAGCACTGTCACATTTTCAGAAATCTGGCCTTGATTTGGTACCAAAGCATTGGTTTTCGGGACATTCCGACAGTGTTCTTTAAATAATCACAGATATCTCAAATTGATTGACTGTTTTTGTCCATTGTTGGACATATTCAAAGCAGTGTTGAGATGCTCTGAGATCTCAGCAATCACTTTGACAAGAACTTTGTTATAATGAGTGAAAGAAACACGGGTCGAACCTCCAAACACGGGAGGATTCTTTCAGGATTCTTGGGACACGTTTTCATGTGTATTGAAAAAAGAGCATCCAGCAGCTTCTAATCGTTCACAACAAGCCTTCTCACTGATGACCGCTGTTAGACTGGCAGCAGATTCCTCCATCACACAGAACTGACTTGATTACTTGAAGTGAGCCAATGCACGCCTTCACTTTCAATTATTGTTCAAAGCTAAGTTGATTCAAAAGTCCGCGCAGAAGTTGCTTTCATCTGTGCTGCTGAGCGAGCGTCCTATGGGCATACATTCGTGACCCACGAAAACAACCAAACACAACTTCAGACAGGAAAATAAGAGTCGCCATGCTGAAATTGCAAAGGCCTCCATCCAAGCTGACACGTCCTCAGCAGAGCTGACTGAGACCATTATCTCTCTGCCCGCGCCATCTTCAGCTGTGCCACTGAAGCAGACAGCATCTATCCATTTGAGAATATCATTTGGATTGCTCGCACTCTTCTCCAAACTGCCAGAGAAGTTTCTTTTCCTGACACTCAGACAAGGCAGCTGTGTTGCGTTATGCTCCGTTATAGCTGGTGACAGGTTGTTTGGCCTGAACATCTCTGCCTTTCTTCCTCCTCTCTTTTCCCCTCCCTCCATCCTCCTCTGTCTATTAGTGCTGACAGCTGGCTTGTTCCGACTCCTGACTGACTCCGACTGCCACTCTCTACTCCTACTCCCTTTTTTTACTCCAGCTGTTTCATCTCATCATCCCCATCTCTCAGTTTTTCTTTCAACAATCTCCCCGTCGTTGTTTTTGTTCCCCATTACGCTGTCTGTCCATCCATCCATCCGTCAGTCAGTCTGGCCCCACATTTGAGGAACACTGTGGTGGAACAATTGGGGAGCTATAACATGAAATTTGAAATTCAGAGCTCTGTGATTCACAGTTTCCCGCTGATATCAGGCACCGCTCGAGGCAAAGCACTGCAGGAGGCATTGGTTCATCCATCTATCAGTGCATCGTTTATAATCACCAATCTGTTAATCAACTCATCCAAACACCTGTCCACAAATAATCTGTCAGCCTGTCAATCTTCATCTCCTTCTCCTCAGAAATTTAAATTACCAGTGGGGCTGTGGACTTTGAGCAAAGCACCACTGTATCAGCATCATTTTGTTCCGTTCTGTTTAACATTCTGGTTGGAAGTTTGGGACTGAATGTGAAGCCTCCATGCATCATTGCACTTTGTTTGCTGCAGGTTTTTGGCTTTCTGTGTCCATGCACACATTTTTCTACAGATACACCCGAATATGTATATAAATAAAAATGTTTTGCTCTTTTCTTACTGACAGTATGTGCAATACAAATGCTCAAATCACAGACATTGTAGCTTTTTTGGATCCAAGCTGAGTAAAAAGCAGAGGTGTATAAAGTACTTGAAAAAAATAACTAAGTAAAAGTATAAGTACCATAACTGAAAATGACTTTGGTAAAAGTTAAAGTCACCTATAAGAAAATTAATTGAGTAAAAGTCTTAAAGTAGCTCACATTAAATGTACTTAAGTATCAAAAGTATCTTGTGAAAAAATATACTCAAGTATCAAAAGTAAAAGTACAAGTACAAGTATTTTATAGTACGCATGAAAAGAAGCAAAACAACCAAAAATTATTCTCCCCTTGTTTTTTTATTTCACTTTTTCAGGTGAATGAAATGTGGTATAGAATACATCTCAAAAAATAAACAATGTCTTGCAAAATTTAACACAAAGACCACTTTTTCACTTTTTAACTATGTTGGGGGAATCCTCATGAACTGAGGCACACTACCACACACACAAACTTTCTGGTTCAAGTGGAGAGGTTGAACTTGCGGTTCATCCTCAGCAGAAGCTGATTTTCAAAAGTGTCCGCAGCTAGCCGTGCTCTTTTTGGGCTGAAGATGAGACCTGCTATGCTGAACAGCCTTTAGCAAGCTGCAGAAGCAGGCAGAGGTGTGTTGAGTTTGACAGACAACTTGAGAACCACAGGAAACGTCTTGAGAATCTTGATGTCATCTGTTGAGTAGGCCAGGTACGAATCAAGCTGCTTGGTGGCGCTTGGTGTTTTGTGGGAACTTTTCAGGATGTGGAAGAAGTCTCCCTCATCAGATGAGCCAGATCCAGCATCTGCTGAAATGGAAGGATCCTCCAACTGCTCCCTGATGTAGTCCAA